CCGAGCCCAAAGAGGAGCCGACCACGAATTTACACACTGCGTTTTGACAGTCGGCGTAAAAAAAATGCGGCAGAAGAAAACAGTCGAGGGGGGAAAAAATCCGACGGTGACAAGTCTGATGGCGCTCGAACTGCCGCAGGATGAACGTTGTCGGAAACCTTTTCTCCGTCGCCGTTGGAAATAAGAATAAAACGAAGTTGGAGTCAACGCCTGCAGCGTAGGCCACCCAGCCGTCACGCTGGACACCGCGGTGCAGCGGGTTGCCTACCTTGGCGCCTGCAGCGTAGGCCACCCAGCCGTCACGCTGGACACCGCGGTGCAGCGGGTTGCCTACCTTGGCACCTGCTTGTATTTTTTAATAGGTAATGAAACTTTTTGGCGTAAGTAAATCATTTTTAGAAAGAAGCCTTCTTCTGACAGCGGCATGGACAGCTCAAGATCAATTCGCTAGGCCAAGAAGCCCCCGTATGGACACACAAACACACACACACAGACACACAAGGCGCGTGTCTCGAGACCGACTGAAGGCGGTACGGCTCGGAGCCTCGCGACCCGGCATTTGTTTAAACTGTCATAATAAAATTTGCGGCGTCGTGCTTCGCGCTCCGCACACGGCGTGCCGCGGCGTGCCTTGGCTGCCCGTACGAACGCCAAACGCGGCAAGGGCGGGGAAGGGGGAAGACGCTTCGCTCCCCGAAAATAAAACGACGCCGCGCCCTTTGCCGCGATGGCCCTGTGTACTTTTGTTTTATGCGACTCTGTCAGCCTCCGGCCGGTGTGTAGTATCGGTGTCTCAGGGGAAAGGGAAGGGGGCCCTGAGGGGGGCTCGGGGCGGGCTGTCGAAAGAGGACTGAGGCCGCGACGCGCGACTGAAAGCGGACACCACAGTCCTTGCCTTTGCCTTTCCCCTAGGCCGCGGCCCCGACGGCCCCGCCGGCCCCGCCCCGCTGGGGGCATATCTTGTTCACGGAGCACACGCCTGGTCCGGACTCGGCCGTTTCCAAGAATCCCCCTCGTCTCGTCATCTCCGCGTTCGATCCCGGCCGCCGCCGAGCACTTTCTGTTCCTCCACTTGTAAATGATTGGGCGGCCCGCCAACGTCGTCAAGACAACGCGGCGGCCAACGAGTAGACAAACCCATTGTGGCGCCGGGCTGCGGACTGACAGGACTCGCTGTTCGAGTCTTGTCAGTTCTGGTCATCGTTCGCGCGCGACCTGAGTAGCGCGCTAGGTTAGGGGCAGTGCCGAAACGTTCTGACTTTGAACGGTTTTCCGCGTGCCCCGACGCCCGACGCGAGGCGTGCCGGCGTGCCCGGTCGAAGCCGCCGATGCCGGTGCAGTGACAACGCCTGGCAGTAATTAAAGATGGCGGTCTGACGGGCGGTGATACGACCCGAGGCAAGTTGAACGGATCCCCGGTGAGTTGCCTATTCACACCTATGCCCTGCCCTGCCGTGCCCTGCACTGCGAGCGGCCAAGGGGCACCAAGGGGGCCGAGTCGTGACGCGAGTGACGAGTGGGCTGAAACTTGACACGCCGCGAAGGCGCGATGTCAGATTAGCGCCCCAGTCACACAGTCACACCCGCAGACAATCGCCCGCAACAAAACGGCTGTCAAAACAGCGTCAAGACCGGGGCGGGGCGGGGCGGGCTCGCCTGGCCTGGCCTAGACGTGCCCCGCCTGAGACGTGCCGCGGATTTCGCACGCTTAAAAGTGGGCGTGGCTTAGGGCCGTGCTAATTTATCAGCCAGAATTTCAAGATTGGTTATTCATCAGAGGAGCTTCACTCTGTGCAGGCCCCTAACTTACCTCGCGTTGCGCTTCTTCCAAAAACCAACGGCGGCCCGCTCCAAACTCCGACAGCGAAATCACTTCATGATGTTGTCATTCGAGTTTCACGGAGAAAAAAAGCTGTTGAAAGCGGTTTTTATCAAATTCAGCGCATAAAACTCAAACACACAATGAGTCAAAAACACTATTCTCTCTTCACAGACGTTGCGACACGCGAAGCGCGGAGGTTAACTAGTTTCGGTCTCGCGTCTTTTGTTCGATGTTTGCAAGCATAACCGTCGCGACTGTGGCGCTCTCTAGAGGCGACGCGTCGCACTCGCGCACTACCAACCATGGCAAACCGATTCCAAAACTTCTTGTTCATTCTCCAAACACATAAGCTCCCTCGGACCTCGGAGCAGTCCTTCTGAGGGATGACTCCTGCGATTTTCCCGTGCTCGACCCCGAAAAAAATTCAGCCGCAGCGGTTGCGGCTGCAGCGGTGGCGTTGTAGCGGAGATAGCGGTGTGGTGGCGGCGGTGGCGGCGCGGTGGCAGGGAAGCTACAGCAACGGCAGCGCTCTCGTCACTCGAAATTTACACCAAGCGGAGAACATGCTCGATTGCAATCACACGCAATAAATCGTGTTGCAACAGGCGGTGGGTGTGCGACTGGCGGCTGGCACCCGCGGGGGATTGAGACGTCCCCACCTCTCTCGCACCCCTTCGGCCCCTTGCCGCCTCGGCCCTTCCCGCGGGCAGTGCCCTCGTCGCCCTGCCTCTCTCTCTCGCACCTCTGCGCCACGGGCCGTGAGTGCGAGAGGGACCGAGCGACCAGGACACTGTTGGAGCTGCAGGGCAGGGCGGGTCGCTGCACTCGTGGGCCGCGCGCAGCGTTGGGCAGCGTTCGCGCCGCGCCTCGATGCGGTACCCGCCAAGCAGCTACCTCCCCGTCGTGCCCCCCCCCCCCCCCGGCCTCACACGCGAATAAATCTGCCGGCTGCAGACTTACTTTTCCCCCGACTTGATGAAGGGTTGGGGAGAGCGGGCCTCCTTGCCCATGGGGTTGTGCGAGGAACGCGAGTCTGCCGACCATTTTCCCCATCGCTGCCGCCACTGCCGCCACTGCCGCCACTGCCCCACCAGCCCCACCAGCCCCCGGCAGTCCGCGGTCTAATTGCGCGGCACACCGATTCCGAGAGTCGTTTTCGTCGCTCTGTCTCGCTCGCACCTACACGGGTCGCCTCACGAGTGCGAGAGAAACACAGCTACGAAAACGACTCTCGGAATGAGTGTGCTGCTCGGGGAGTCGGGGACTTGAATGCACTAAAGACCGAGAGTCCATGCAGGGAATGCGCCCCGAGTCCCGCCGAGCCGTTCCGAAGTTCCGAAGCGTCGCCTCGTCGTTCTGTCTCTGTCACACTCATGGGGCGGCCCGTAGGCGAAACGCTCCTTCGGAATGAGGCGGCAGGTGGAGTGCACTTCGTCACTCGGCACAGCCCGGCAAGCCCGGCGCAGCCTGGACGACAATTACGGTGTACACGCGTACAATGGGAGCACGGCGGCAGCACGGCACTGCGGCACGGCGGCCTCGGCACGCCCGCCAAGCGAGTGGCAGCCTGGTGGCAGCATGGTGGCAGCATGGTGGCAGCGCAGACAGGCCTAGACTTGGGTGGCCGCCACCGCCGCCGGGACGTGCAGTCCTTCCTTGCAGTGCACCGGCTAGCCGCGCGGCCGCGGTGGAGGTGAGGCGCCCCTGCTTTCTGCTCCGCGGTGCCCCGCGTTGCTCCGCGGCCTTGCCTGCCCCGCCCCGCCCACCCGCCGGCAACCTCGAGCGCGTCTCGCGTCGCGGAGGGATCCGCGGGGACGCTGCTCGTTAATACTTCCGCTAATTGACCGCGTGGAGGCTGCAGACTGATTCAGCGAGTCGTTTTCGTCGCTCCGTCTCTCTCGCACTCATGAGGCGCCCTGTGTCGGTGCGAGAGAAACAATCGGTCTACTGGGGGCCTTCCCCGCCGCCCCTCGTAGGCATCCGCCGAGTCAAACCCAAAGCCAAACCTGGAGGCCGTGCAGCGCGGGAATTTTGGCTGGTTTTACGGCCGGGTTTATCTGCCGCAGGGCCAGCTCTGGATTGTGTGAAACCCGAATAAATAAAGGCAAGGAATACGCCCCCCCCCCCTTTCCCCCGGCCGCCGCTCGCTTCGCCTGCTTCGCCCCGCCAAGTCCGGCTCGCCGTGTCCGTTTTCATGTCGTTTTATTGGAACGCTTTTGTACGGGTATTGTTTATTGTTGGAGCGTATCTGCGCGCCTTATCTCCATACCTAACACGTTCCAGCAATGGTTGATAGTAATTAATTGGCTATCGGCTCTCGATCGGGTCACACGGCCGGTGTCCGTCTCCGGGGAGGGCCGGCCAGTCAGGCCGTCACCCGGAAGGACGTGATGCCAAAGGCAGCCAAGGGCACATCGCCTGCACTTCGCCTCGGAGCGAATGTGGATCTCCAATGGGAGCGGCGCAGCGCCGCCGTACGCCTGCCCCGCACGGCCTCTAGGCACGGCCTGCACGCCCTGGACGGCTGCCGAGAGCATGTAACTGGCGGGGCGGGTCCTCTGTTGTCTGCTCCCAGTGTGCGGGTCCTCAGTCCCCGTTTGGCGGGGAAAGCCCGCCATGGTTCCACGAAGTGCTCACTGTTGCATTGATTGTGAATCGTGGCGTGGCTTTATCAATTTGAATGATGAGACAGTCGCTCAGGGCTGCTGGCGGCTTGGCGGTGAGAGTGGGCCCCGGAGGTGGACACTGTGGACACTGGCCTCGCTGCTCGCTGCGTGAGCGCGCTAGGTGCACGGACCAGGCACGGACATGCAAAGGCTAGGGCAACCTGCAGGTTTCCAGGAACCCCACTGGACCCGGTACGCGGCGGTACGGGCACGCTGGAGAATGATTCCAAAAGTAGTTTCCATCGCTCTGTCTCTCTCGCCCCTACACGAGACGCCCCATGAGCGCGAGAGAGATAGAGCGACGAGAACGACTCCCTGAATCAGTCTGCTGTGCTAGCTGTGCAGTGTGCCGGCCAAGGCCCCATCAGATTGCAGACCAGGATCCAGGATCCGCAGGGACCTGCAGGCAGGCAGGCAGGACCACACTTCTCATGGCCCTCGTGTCCCCAGCTGTCGCTGTCAGTCCTCATGCAAGTCCCTGGGTCCGGCAGCTAAAATTACACAAGGCCTTGTTTCACAGGAATGTTGAATTTTTATTTCAAAGTCAAACCGAGCTACAAGGCTAAATAACATGGAATAGAAAGTGCTCTTCCTTTCGCACTGTATGTTCATTGGACTATATATTAAAGCTACACTCTAAATGACTCTTGATGAATTCATGAACTTTGAAAGTTCATTTTACGAGGATGTTTTCACCATTATAGATCACACAGAATCTTTCTACTAGACAACACATACAATAAAACAAGCACACTCAAATATACATACACACGCAAACCCAATAAGGTATTATTATTAATATTTTAAAGACAGTTTGCTTAGTTGGTTTTCAATAAGCATAACACAATATAGCACCAGTAAACCTTAACTTTACTTTTTCCCTGAATAAATTACCTTTAAAGTAACATTGCCAGAAACTGTAATTAAAGGTTTAAGTTGTTTGCATAACATTTACACAATAACGTAACACAAACATACAACAGCTCAGTCATTCACTGTCCATTAAAAAAACTATCCAGATCTGTAATACCTAAACACAATTGAACTCATACTGTCTTACTTATGGCTACGGTTAGTACCACTGTTTACATAAAAATCATTGAATATACAGGGTCAGTGCGGGAAAGAATTAAACCCTGCAGGAGCGAGGAAAAATCTCACACCCCTATTTTAGACTGAATTGTCGCATTTGGATACTAGGGAATACTCCCTACTACTTTTTGGTACCCCACACGAACGCGTACTGATATTAGAAAGTCTCTAAATGATAAAATCCAGTCGAAAAATGGGGCATTCAATTTTTTCTCACCCCTGAGGAGTTTGGTTCTTCCCCGCACCAACCCTAATAATTGAACAGCAAGTAAACATTGTCAAAATAGTTTCATCACACTCATTAATTAAATTAGAGTACCTCGTCTCGCAACTGGCACTTTACAAACTGATGTCATAGCACTAAAAAATCAACGGGAATTTTTATGAGAAAGGCTCTGGAAAATTACCAAAAAATGGCATAGGCTATTTCTTTTTATGTTAGCCGTTTGAAATAGCAATCAGATGTTCACATAGCCTGCCTGTCATACAATTCTGTTTGAATGAAAATGCATCCCATAAGTATACAATGTTAAACATACCGGTACTTTTTACCCAACCAAATCAATAATGCTTGATCCTCAGGGAGAGAAAAAGATAATCAGAAACAATTGCACATTACCCGACAATTTGTTGCTATAAATATAAATGCAGAGATATTTTATGTGTTTGAGAAACGACATTTACATGATGTTTCCTAATCTCATAAGTTGAATTACAGTACTCTTATCAGAAAAATGTATGGCAATGAAATTGTGCAGATAAACCAAACAAAGTTTCTGCTAACAGTTGTTTGTTTTTAAATAATTATAATAAAAAATCAAGAAGAACAAAACAAAATCACAGAAATTATAGAAATGACTACTCAATAAATCCTCATCACACGTCATCAAAAAGTCCTCTAGGGGGATATGTTAGATGCTTCCCACTTTGATGTTGTGACAAAGGTTCCTCTTCTTCTGTTGCTACATAATACTCTGAAGACTCAAGCAAGCCAGCTCTAACTGATTCGGTAGAATTCTGACGAACAACTGGATTTTCTGTAATGAGAAATAAATGAATACATACATGTCACATAAAAAATTAAGAAAATTAAAAAGGAAAAAGGAAGAAGGCAACTAATCTAATGCTATGAGCCTCTAGGAAGTGTGTTTGAGAAGAAGTCTAACAAGCAAAACTGGCATGCACTTATATATGTATGAGTACATTGTAACTAGCTTTGCACCAACTTGACCATTACAGTGTTCACCTCCATAAGTTTGCCTCTTTGGCAAATGAACAGGACAGAAACAATTTTAGATATAACAAAGCCAAGTTAATAATTGTTATTTTTAAGAATAAATAAATGAATCTCAGATTTTAAGAACAAGCAACCTTTTACAAGTACAGTAAAATAAAAGCAAATCAAAATAATAAGCTTACTGGCAATAATTTTCTATCTTCAGGTGATGTAGCCTAGTGTTTCATCACTCGGAGGGAGCAAATAAGTCATCTCACCATGTTCTGGATCGGTGCTCCTTGATGTTGGTCGATAACGAGAAGCTGAATTTGTTCCAAATCTCTCTCTGAACTCTCTCCTTCTATTTTGAGACTCTTCATTCCGTTCAAGTCTTCTCCTCTCTAACAAGAAAAGCAGAATACAGAAAATGAAAGCAAGGAAAAACTTTGTTTAAATTCGAATACAAGTCTGATGGACAGTTACCAACCTCTTTTGATTAATTCTCTCCCTTCATCCACAAGTTCCCCTGTCAGTTCATCATCACCCACAAATTGCTGGAAGCCAAGCATTGATAAAACTCTACTTCCCAAACTGAAATATGTGGCTAGGCAAACAGCAAGCATCAGCATAGGAAAATAGATATTAAATCCATCAGATATGATGGCAATGACATTCATATGACCCATTACCTGGGTGTAATGTGTTTCTAAAATACGTTTTTTAATAATATGACTGTCCATATGAATGAGACCCAAGAAATTTAGACACATTGGTGGAGTTAAACGGCAAAGCATCATTCCAGAAAATATTAAACTGAATTCATCAGTTTGATGATGAGGAGCAATATAATAGTGATTTAGAACACGAATTTTGAGTACTGTAGAATATGCACAAAAGCATAAGTAAGCTATTATTAAGGTAGACAAAACTTCTATGGTAAAGTAGTCATAATTAACTTTAGCAAGATTCAGGAAATTCGCAAAAAGAGTCAGAACAGGTTCCTTGTTGAAAAATGTGACTTCTGACCACACAACAAATAATGAGAGAATTGCACAAATCACAGCCATAAATTTGAGAACATAGCTGTGCAGTACACATCGCCAGTACCACTCTGAAATAAGAAAAAAAGTTCATAGTCATTTATAACACTCTCCTGTTCTTAAATTTTAAAATTCACAAAGATATTGCAAATGCCTAACTTACCAACAGTGGGTGAGAAAACTGCTTGCAGTATTGGTGACCTTTGTGGAGGAAACGACCATTTGAACCGATGGTCATGACTTACTTGGTTTTTAGCAACATCTTCCAGCAAAAATATTTTTTTCACCAGCATATCCCACTGTGTCTCTGTTCGGTGCTGCGTTTGAAGAGCTTTGATAACCTAAAAAGATTAAGTGAAATGTAACAAACTGTAATTATAAGCACACATAAATCATTAATTGAGGAACATACCTGCTTATGCAACCTGACCAAGGACTTTTCAGTTGGAGGCTCAAGGGTCGAATCATCTGCAGCAGGTCTTCTATTCATCCTTTCTCTCATTTCTATAGGAACTTTTTGTAAAATTGTTTCTACATTTTGGAACTGGGGATGATTTTGACGTACAGCTACACTGAGAGCCTTCAGGGTCTAAAAACAATTTTTCAAGTAAAATATTACTGAATACAATAAATTAAGTTCGAACAGCACATGTTTGTTTCTAAACTCTACCTCCAATACATCATCAACGGCATCCTGTGCTTCACACTTATCACAACTGAGTTTTGCTGCATGGAAGTAGGCATAGTGAAGGGAATAACCCTTTTTAGAAGCATTCCACAAACTTCGAGGAACTTCTACCAGAGCATAACCCAATAAAAGCACAAGGAGAAAGAGGCCCCAGGTATTTGAGGCTGAAGCTGCAATGGCTTTAAGTTTTTGTCTGTAATTACAAATAGATAGATAACAAATTAGTGTATGACATATATTTTGAGATGAAATTTTGATTAATTCAGTTACAAGGAATGAATTCCACACAAACATTCCACTAAACTTACCCATCAAGATCAACAGAAGGCTGAAGCGCAAGGTATATTAAAAGTATACCACAGATAAAAAGGTAAGTACCATAATAAATAGTGTTGTCTATGATAGCAGACTTTATTTTGCCCTTCCATGTGAACTCTCCAGCCCGGCTGTAAGACTGCATTACTGGCATGATGAGCCTGAAAACAAGAAAGTATTCATAAGTCAATGGGGAACATTAAAATGGACAAAGAAGGAGGACATTGAAATTACGGACCATGTAAGACACTGAGAAGTCCAGTATACAACCCGCCATAAGTTGGGAAACACATTGTCAGGAACGTGACTCCATGGTTCCTTGCACTCAAGTTCTGTTTGATTAACAACAGTTCCATTTTCTCCAATGCACTGACGATACACTGTCTACAAAAGAAATACAAAAAATATCCCATTAAACATTTGATTGGTAGATAAATTAGATTACAATTGAAAAACAATTCACATACCGAGGACACATCAAGGGGAAGAACAAATACAATCAAAAATGAAAAGTACCAAGCAATGAGAACAGCAATAGTCACAACAATGTGGTGCCGCATACAATTGCCATAGTGATAAAGTAGTAGAGCGGCAAGACAAAAGGTGACTACCACATCTGTTAAAAGTGGCCCTAGTGACATGGTTGCTGCAACAAAAGAGTGTGATACTTAAGATTGACCACCATGACCAAAACAAGGAGCTGAGGGCAAGAAAGAAACATACCAGATTTGAACTGTAAGTGAAAGGTACAATGATGTGAGGTAATATCACTGTTGAATAGATTCACTAGTGGAAGTGTTGATTTGTTGTTGCCTTAGTTTCTCTTCTGCTAGCTTTTGCATATCCTCCAGCCGTTGAAGAGTGACAGACTTGAGAGGCATCAACTTAGGCTTGCACAACACTGGTTGGAACAAATCTCGTTCTTGGTGCTGTATGATTCCTGTGTTTAAGATGACATGCTTCAAATTGGCAGGTTCAGACATATTATTTTAGTGAAGGAGCTGAAACAGACCAAATATAGATCACGGTTACACTAAGATTCATTCGGAAGTATAATTACCCCTCTACATTTTAGAATTTAAAAAAAAGGAACGTGACAATGAAGAAAAATGTCGAATTTCTTGTTTAAGATGCATAGCGACGAGGGGGAAAAGCAATATATAGTGATACTTGAATAGTTGCATAACGTTCAAACCTAACCACTAAACAGACACTCTTCTTATCACGTCAGTATAGTAAAATGTTGCACATGAAAAACTTAAGCGTACTCACCAGAATAAAATTAGTGTCACTAACACGGAATAAAACTGCAAACTGCAGAATTAAATAGACAATCCATGTGCAGCATATTAGACCGTCTGCTTGTTTCGTGACATGATGACAGAAATAAACAAACGAAGGTAGGAAATATTATTGATTTGAAGATGAGAAATTTGTACGAACTTTTTCTCGTCGGTGTGAGTCAAACTTAATTTTTTCATGTAGGTCTTTATGAAACTTCAAAAAGGTAAAAGAAGTGTTTCATCATAATTTTCACTCACGCTGTTCTGAATTTAACACAAATGTGTTGAATGAGGTGGCGAAAAACCAATGAAGAACTCAAAAAGACACAGCTTTGACTCACGTAGTAGACAAACCTTCGGGCTGCTTCTTCGGGCTGCATCGCAAACAAAAACACCGTTCTCACTTGCACCTCTGCATGTCTCACGCGATCTTAACAAGGAGAATCGACTCTGACAGCGCTTTTTCCTGATGTGACCTCAGTTGGCCCTTTGATACTGAAAACGCTGAAAACGCATACGCCATTTCCGCAGTAGGCTGGTGCAGTGTAAATATTTTGCTGCTTATTGTCGTGATCTATGACACGATTGTAGGCGCTCACCTTCCTGTGGGTCTTCGATGAGCCTAAAGCCCAGGTGAGTCGTGGGCAGATTGCCAGTATTCCCTCAATGTTTGCAGACTGTCATGGTGCCGCCCAACCTGCTGGGTTGCCCACAGACCTTGTAATCTCCCTTTATCATTTTTACTTGCCAAATACTAATTCATTCTCCAACAGCATTGCCATTGAACCTTGTTATCTTTCAAAGTAACACGGCTCGTCTAGAGTGGTACACCAGCCAAGTTTTGCTGCCCAGCTCTGGCTGGAGCCCTTGTCCCTTGCTGTTTTCACGAATAGGCTCAGCAGGCTATGTGTATAACAAGCCGAGTATCTAATAAATTTTAGAGATGAATTGGTGGGCTTTGAACCAATTATTAAAAATCGTTAAAAGAGGTATTGCCTTTAACAGTTTTTGACGTCTTTGTTTCAGGATGCAGGGCATCATGAAATTTGGAGACAGGAGCAGCAATGATTGGAGATGCTGTTTCTGCTTCCATGTTCGAACGGGAACCATTTTTCTTGGTGTTTGGCATTTGGTATGTATGTTCTGTTTGTGAATCTTAAATCATATGGTTTTGACGCCTCTAAACAAAATTGGTGTTTGTTTCAGATGCTGCATGTTGTAGCCCTCTCTGCTGTGACTATCATTCTGAGAAGCAATGATTTGTACACTGAGTGGGACGAGCAAATTAGTGTGTTGCCCACTCCACTGAGTGAAACTGACACTGGCCGCTGGATCCGTCTTGATGGCCTTAGCAGCGATGCTGATTTCCGTCATAGCCAGGAGCCCGTTGCTTTGCCATCATCTCCATTCAAAGATTCTGTGTTTGATTCTTCTGACGGCACCCAGTATCTCATTCGCCACCGTACTTACAACTACCGCAAAGCTTTGAGTATGTTATTTTATGATAATAATATTTTTGCAGTCTCTTTAAATGTTTCAATTAATTATCATCTTTCTCTGCCAATTTTCAGAGGATATGAATGTTATTGTGGTCATGATGTTCTGCTCATTTTCCATTACTCTCCTTATGGTTTATGGAGCTGTGAAGGGAAAACCATCGTACCTGATGCCATTCTTTTGCCTGCAAATGTTCGACTTCTGCCTTACCAGGTATTGTTTTATGCACACTATTAGCATTATCTCCACTTTTTCCACTTTTTCATCACAATCAATCAAACTTATTGAGCATTCTTTTTATTTAACTTGTTGTTGCAGTTTGACTGCTGTTGGTTACTTGTGCTACTTGCCAAACATGCACCGTTACCTGGCTGAGAATCCTACTGTTCCATTCCGTGAACAACTTTTGCGGCTGGATCCTCAAGTTCTGTCTCTTTTGGTACTTGGTGCATTTACTGTTGTCATGCTAATCAAGGTAATTCTCCGTTCTAGGCTATTTAATCCTAAAGTGACTTACTTTTTTAAATAGTTTACTGACCCCTTTTCCTGCAAATTTCAGTCTTACTTCATTGGAATTGTCTGGAGCTACTACAAGTATCTAACTCTGCGTATGGTTGCCAATCGTCGCACTATCCATTATATTGAGTCTGAGATTGCAACCATGTCGCTGTCAGAATCCCTGCTCGGCACCATGCCAACAACTGTGGACCTCCCTGACTACGAGACAGCAGTCAAGAAATTCTCTCCGCCACCGCCATCCTATGCTTGTGCCACAGCTATGGCACATGAAGGCCAGGTTATGCATCCTGCTGCACCCGTTGCTTCTGATACCTTGGCTGTCCAAGTTGTTCCATCTGATTCTGCTGCCGCAGAAGTACCTCCCCAGCCCTCCACTTCTACTGCTGCTGCTTCCGAAGAAGCTGCAAGGAATGTCTAAAACAGCATTGATTGAATTAATCATTGAGGAGGCAGTGACAGCGGCAAGTATTATCTACAATATAACATGACACTTACACGGCCAAACTCTTGCTGAGAGATTGATGGAATTGTCGGTAGCATTTTGGCTTTACTTGTAGGAATTTGTGCCGCAAATTTCACTTTAAAATTTACCTAATGAATATGGCTTTTTCTTAAATAAAATTGATTGCCAATCTTATCTATCTTCAAATTTAAATTATAATGAGTTGAAATTGGCCACTAGCTAGAAGCTGTCAGCGTCCCTCAAATTTATTTAGTTTTGAAATGGTAACGTCTTCTCCTATTGTTGGCCCATCCCATTTTTTTAAAAAAATCTTACTCCATTTTACTGTTTTGCTATTTCTCCAGGACTGAACTGTTCTGAAAGCTGAGTTGAAATAGTAGGGGGTAATTGTAGATCTCATTTTTAAATTCAAGTCCTTTTCTGTTGATGCTGTTTGTTTTCATTATGTTTGAGCTGTAAATGGAGAGAAAATTTAAGGCCAACTTATACTATACAAGTTATTGTAGATGTCCCTCACTTCAATAGCAAAGACATGATGAAAAGTATTAATGAAACTGTGCTTGTTAAGTTTTTTTTTTTTTTGTCTGAGTTTTTCTTTTTCTTTATTTTTTTCAGAATCTTAAAACATTAAGGCGGATAAGTAAAGGGCGTGTTACTTTGATTTTTGTTCATTTTATCGGTTGGAACTTAAATTATCTGTTGTACCTATTAAATAGAAACTGATAACTAGAATGTGTATGTAGTCATCCTGATTGTGATGAAAGAGAAAAACATGCAATCACCTACTTAAGAAAATCTATGACAGAATGATAAAAAACATGTCATTAACACTAGCACTTGTTTGTGCCTTTCAGCATTTCTTACACTGGAATAATGATTTTTATTTTTTTATGATAATGGAAGAGTACTGAATGTTGTGGAATGTGATGAATGAAATGAAGGATAGGTAACCTAAATGCTGTGCAATAACCCCTACGTCATGAAAGTAGCAAATCTCACCACAGCGTGAAGCAGAAGCATGAATACTTAATCTGCTTGTTAGTTAGAGATAAGGTTACTGAATTTTCTTTAGGAGCTTCCTACGTTTTTACGGAGTTCTCTTAATATATATTGAAAAGGGGGGAAATAAGCAAAGAACTGTGTGGATTTCAATAACTTTGGTTGGTTAGTTGGTTATTATTTGTGTTACTGTAGTTTAGCCCAGGATTTTTATATTTTCAGCTTGAGAGTGAATGACATGGTTTTTTAATTAAAACTCATAATCTCCCTTTCTTCTTGAAATTTCCTTAATCAATAGTAACAACACTTTGTTTATTCCACTCTGCGTTTTAGATTGGAATTTGGACCGGGTGTCAGTTAATTACCATGCTAATTAAGTGTTAGCATTCTTTTGTGATAACGAAGCCTCATTGAGAATATGCGGCTAAGCCATCTTGGTTAACATCCAAAGAGATTTAGTTTCATGCACACATTTTAAGACTGTTGTTCCTTTAACTATGTGAGTATTTAAGTTTAGTTTACTTGTTTTGGAAAAGGTATTGATGTTAAGCAGTAATAGTTTGAAGTGCTTCCCCATGCAGATTTGCAATTTACTTGTCCTTGACTCTCAAGTTTACTATACAGATCGCAACCATCATTACTTTCTGTAAATTTTGACCTTTTCAAAAAAGAAAAGCTTGTTGGGTTGTTCTTTATTTTGTGGTATCTTTCTGTCCTGACGATAAAGTTTAATTTGGTCTTGAGGCAAGTACTGCAGAGAAGTGAGGTAAATTAATGCCAGTTTCATTAAATTTGAAGCAATGCACCATTTCTTGAAATAGTGTCCTTTCTTTATTCTATGTGCTGTATTATGACATAGCATCTGTCTGTTTGGTCTCTGTATTTAGAAGTTAATTAGGCCTTTACTCATGTGGGAAATACTTTTAGAATCATAAGATTTTGCTTAGACAGCTGTAGTCTCTTTGTCTTGTATAGCCTTTGTCATGTGTGTGGCAACTCATAATGTCAAAACTAAAAAAAAAATTAAAGAACAAAAAATATTATTCTGTTGAATGATAATCTCAGTATAAATTTCCTTTTCTTCCCTCACCTGTGTTTTACACTAGAATATACTTCATGTGAAGGGTAATGATTAGATAATTATCAGGTATCTGCAGCAATTTATTTAACTAGTTTTGGAATGGAAAGTGAGGTACTGCACCAACAGGGTAGTGTGACCCTACAAACTTTGTGAACATATTGGTCAATTTTCACAATTATTTTTGGTGGTAAGATAATAGAAAGATCTGAATAGATATATATCTAAGCAATTTTGCCCAAATGACAGTTTAAATGCAGAGATGATGATGGTTTACTCATGATGTTAGGATGTTCCAATCTCTTCTTTGCTATCTACTTCTTGAGACCTTTGTTTCATATAGGCCAGAAACACAGTCCACAAGAAACTACACAGACTCACGAATGGTATTTGATTTTTTTCTGGTATAAAGCGAAAGTTAACGGTCTGGACAAATGGCCACACACATACTGCAGTCTGCAAATTAGAGATGATGGAGAGAAGTTGGTTTCGAAGACAATCCAAAAAGCAAGATAACAGAAACATTGTTAGTACATACCTGCCATGTCGGTAAAAATTTCTCCCTTGTCTCATTTATAGCATCTTCCTTTGAACCTCCTTCAAGGAGTGTCATTCCAGAGTAAAAACAACAGATAGCAATCGGGCCATAAGTGAATTGCTCTACTACTGCCTGGGTAACAGAAGAAGAAACAAAGACAAGAACGTTAATTTTATCTCTGAACAATATTTCCTTCTTTGTGCTACAAGTGGGCTTACAGGGAGTCCTAAGCCAAACTGAATGCACACACAAAAAAACCACAACTGAACGAATTTTAAAAATAATCCTTTATTACTGTAGTTACACGGCAGACTAGAGTTTCTGGATGTATGATATGATGCAAGAGTTCACCAGTGGAAAAGTAGGATATAATGGATTTCATAAGCAAAAAACAAAATGTGAAATTTAACAAGTTCAGTTTCCAAAAGTCAATATGCAGAACTAGTTCAGAATTATGTGAAGACTACTAGGCTTTAAGAGAACAGCATTGAGACACCTCACTAATCCTTACTTATAAAAATAAAATACACTCTACAAAAAAAGTTGTCAACAGGACCCTGCTTTCTTCAAAGAAAAATCTTTGGGCTGCAAAAGTGAAAACTTTACAACAATAAGTTTTTGGTCATGGAAAAGAAAATTATTATCTTAATCACATTTACAGGTAAGATCTTTGGCAAAAACAGTAGCAATATAGAGTTTAGATCATGGTAGATATGATAATGAGGCACTGTATTCTCTTTAGAACAAAAGCTGTTCTATGCAATATATGATGATGAAAATAATAATCAAATACTCTTACATTACTATGACTAAAATATCACATCCAATAATAACCATTCAATAAAATATACTGTATGTCAATAGACAAATACTTTGCAAACACACCAAGCTTCATGATGCAAAAATTGGCTATAAAAATAATACTGGACTAGAGAGCCATAGATTTTGCAGTTACAATAACACATAAAGAGTACCCGACAAGAAACTATTTCATGTTAATATGCTGTAAAGGGGGCACTTAATGATGGAGCAACAACAGTCATGGGCTTTTCTAATTGTTGAGACTCAAGTTGTTTCATGTATGCTAGGAAAGTAGTCCAGCAAAGGCTACATAAGCTCACAAACGGTACTCTATTTTGAGGTGGAACAACAGTGAAGTTAAAAGTTTGAAGCACTGGCCAGACACAAGCGCCGACCTGCAGAAAAGAATAAAAGTTACGAGTAAAATATTAGCGGCTACAGAATTTACCAGAATAAAAATTTCAAATGAGTGGTTTTGTTGGAACAAATTCAGCCACTTACTTTGTATGTTGGAAGAAATTTTGTCTTTACTTCTTCACAAGCTTCGTCAAGAGTGCCTCCTTCCAATAAGGTCATGAAGAAATAGAAGCATATCATGGCACTTGGAGTGTAAGATACTTGTTCCACCAATGCCTGCATGAGACATGACTGCTCAGCAATGCTAACAATAACACTTCTCAGCACATGCTTTCAACATCAACCTTAATAAATTTTCTTGAAAACTTAGACAATTTTTCGTTTCTCAAGAAAACAGCCCATTATGAGGACCAGCATGATGCAAAATTTTCATTAAACTTTCTATTACTCCCCCAAGAATAAAGTTTTCAATAAACTCGCTTTCAACTTACCTTGTATATTCCAGATCTCAAGCCAGGTTTTGGGAACAGGTATCCGGCAATGGTCATCCAGGTGTATAATGTAGGAGCAACAAAACAGCAACCGTAGAGACTGAAGCGAAGGGCACGCCAGTAATCCAGTTTCTCTTTGCCTTGAATCTTTTGCTGTACACAGCTACCCAGAGGCCAAATGCATGCATATGACAGCATGCCTCTTGATAGAGGGTATTTGTGGGTAAATGCAGCAACTCTGCTCCACACATTTGGCATTTTGGTCACCAATATTTAGAACACTGTAAAACATTTTGTTTAAGCATTATTAAAACAATTTTGTCATTAATATTGAAATATTATTATAATTTATCACGAAAATGCATGGATCATTCGAAGAACTGTGATAACGGCACTAAGAACAGATAATCTTGGGCTTATGTCTTTTTCGTCAACTTAAATTTCCCAATCTGAAAGACAGCGACGCTGCAGCATCAGACCAGAATAAAATGTAATTTCAGGTTAAATATATTTCATGTCATTCCAAAATAACTATCACAAGTGAATGGAAGAGGAAACCTTATCTAATTTTGTAGAGATACACGTCTAACATATCAACCAGTAATGAATTTATTTACCTAAAGTATCAAGGTCCTTGGACTGGATGGCGTGTGAGGGTGACAGCAGAAGAGCAGAAGTCACAAGTCGCGCGCTGGCTTTTCTGCTTTCGAAATCATTCTTGAGTTGTCGTTTCTAGGTCATCGTGGTGCATCTATCTTTAACTTCTATACACGTTTAGGTGGCGTTCAAATATTCAAGTGACACGGTCTATCCTTGTCACACTTTAAAAATTACTATCTTTGAGGAATAGAGAAACACTGAAGTCTTGTTGCCCACGGCCATTTTACGGGGGCAATCCGAATCCGAATGCAAATCCGAATCTGGGCCTGCGCCTCCTAGAAGTCGTCAATCCGGCACAGCTGATTTCAACAACAACATTCCAGGAAGGCCTGGGCCTGCTGATCCTTCAGAAAAGGTTAAAGACGGGTTGTGGCTGTTTTCATTGCAAATTGGCCGTGTTTAAGCTTTAGGACCTCCTGGTGGAAATGTCGTCCGTTGCTCGTCTTCAGGATCTTCCTCCTCCGGGAGGTTTTGGCAAAATACACTATGAAAAAGTGCCCCACAAGTCTTTTTTCAATGGTGAGTCTCCCTTGCTTCTTGCTCATTTTCTGCTCAATTTTTTATTTGTTCATTGTTTTAGGACATTTTCGTTTCATAATTTTCGATGATTACAATTTTTAAAATATGCTGTATTTTTTTTTCGTACCATTGTTCTGGTTTATTCTTGGTGCATTCTGTAAAAGTATGATGTACTCGAGCCATATTTGTCCGTGAACCAGAATCACGGTTTTAAAGTATTTTGGTGCATCAGTGTTCTTGATCTTATACTTTCTTGTTGGAATATTAATGTGTTCACCTGCTTTTGTTTGCTTCTGACCCATTGCGGTCCTAAATTATGTTTCATTTTGTAAGTTGACGATTATACTTGTGTTCTTTTGTATCTGTCAGGAAAATGGATTGCCATTACTTTCGGCATCAGTTATGCCCTTGGTATTGCTGGCTATTTGGCTTCTGTGAACATTATAAAACGCCAAAGAATTGAAACTCAGAGTGCTCGGAATGCAATTCAGCCTTTCCTTCTAGCCGAACGTGATAGACAGTAAGTATAATATAAAATGTTTTTTTTATTTCTGCAGATTGGTGAAATAACGTTGCAGTGTTAATCATTTTGTTTCATTTTTTTTAGGCTGTTGCTGCAGATGAGAAAGAATCGTGATGCTGAAGCTGAGCTGATGAAAGATGTTGAGGGATGGGAAGTTGGAACCCTCTTTGGCACACCTGTGTACAACACTGTGGGAGAAAATGAATGGATTGGCTACCGGCCTAATTCATACTATGCCCATGCTGACCCTGACAGGCGACTGGACTATGAAGGATTTAGCTTGTATGTGTAAATTCACTCTTTTAACTGTAATTAGTATGTATATATGTTCAAAACTGAGTAATCTATTCAAGTTCCTGCTTTTGTACCTGTGAGATTGGCAGGTTCTCAAAAACTGATGTACGCAGTTAACAGTTCTAAATCAGCCCTGAGTTATTAGAATAGAAATACATGTACAGTCAGGGATGCAAATAAAACAATGATTCAGTGGCACCATGATGAATTTATTGTATTTGTGGAATTGCAAGTTTGTTACAGTTGCCCTTAAAAAAATCAGGAATTGATAGCCTTCATTATTTTCATATGCACAATAAAGGGGACTTAAACAGGGAAAGAAATCTACATGATGTTTTGTGATTGTCATTACAATGCTGTCACTAGTTTTCAAGTTTTTCAAAACCACTGGGAGAATCTCACTTAAAACATCCTTAGTTTACAGGAGAAAAAAAGAAGAAAAAACAATTAAAAAGTAGAAATTTATAAAATCACATCATATAATATCACAATGCTGGTTATGCTACAGTACTTGTCAACTTAAAACTGATTGAATTCACAATTACTTCTTAAAATCGTCCAGTTTTGAAACTATTGGTACCTTTTTTCAGAAATATCACAATTCAAGTAAAAAGTTTGATCAAGGGTTTTTTTTTTTAAATGAAAGCTCTTACATTGACATTCAGATTTTTAAAAAAACACTACAAAAACTAATTAGGAAAAATTCTCTTAATGTAACAAAGAGGAGTCTACAAAATTATCTTAAAGTAAAAAAGAAAAGTTACTACAAGGACGAGTAACATAAACTAAGGAAGGTCAGCTGTTTTGCTAAGTCACATTTGTTTCAAATTACCTAAATGCAGTTGTTATTGAGCCAAACTTTTAAATGCTTTAAGAAAGTCAAATGAAGAATGTCTCCAAGATTTAGCAAAAAGGAAACATTTCCAAAGGTTGTCAGAGACCACATGTGGTGCATCCCATGCTCAGCTTCCACCTTGGGCAGGCCCAAAAATAAATGCAGATAGGGCCTAAAATATTTTTGGTTCTTACCAGATTTATGACATGTTTGTAGACAAGATGAGTATTATAAGTGTTATAAAACAGCTAGAATTTTTGAACCATTTGATAATATAACAAGTTAAAAGTAAAAAAAAAGTGAATGAGACCCACATTCTGTAAAGTACAGTGAATGGACAGAGATCACATTGGGTAAATCCACAAATGGCAAATTATTCCATACCTTAAACCTAGATTTGATCAAGAAATACACAACAACAAAAATTAAAAACAGAATATTTGTTGCAACTTAAAAATGGCAACCTTGACAGGAAAATGTTAACATGGCAGTACTACTGCTGTTGGACGGTGCAATTGGCTTACAACTCATGGCACAAACTTGTGACTGAGTGGTGTACAGATGTACTTTTCATCACATCTCAAGTACTTCACATAGGCTTATCAATAATTGCTACACCAGCATAACTTCTCCCAATACCCATAGATGAAGGAAGCATAGACCAAGTGTCTGTTTTGGGGCTGTATACCTCCACTGAAGCCAAATTGGCAGAGCCATCATCTCCTCCTACTACATACAAGAGACCATTCAGAGCAACAACACCTGTAATGGGAACATATGCATAAATTTTACATAAAATTATAATTGTATTAATTGTATGAACAGAACAGTTCAATCTATACCTGCGTTTCTTCTGCAATAGGCCATGTCAGCAACCTGTGTCCAGGTTTCAGCTTCTGGGTTGTACGCTTCAACGCTTTTGCGAACTAGTGGGCCATCATGGCCGCCTACAGCATACAGTATTCCATCCAGTACTCCTACTCCCGCACCGGAGCGTCGGACAGACATTTCGGGCACTGGTGACCAGCTGTCCATGTCAGGGTGGTAGCATTCTACTGTTGACAAACACTGACGAGATGCTCCATCATAGCCTCCAACCTAGAAAGGAAGGAAAGAATTATTGAAGACATGTAAAAACTTTAAGAGTAAGCCTGCCCTGCTTTCCTCCAACCAATTCATACAACATGCGGGAAAAAAGAGAGTAATCAACTTACTGCATATAATAGACTGTTTACAACACCAACACCGACACTACTTCTCCGAGTAGACATTGGTGCAATGAGGCGCCACTCGTTTTTTCGAGAATCATACACTTCAGCTGAGTTTAGGCCAGTTGAACCATCAAAACCCCCAACCTGAAAAATTACACAAGGGTCATTGTTGCACATCCAACAAAAGAGAGAAGCTGTCAATCATCCAAAGGAGGTAAACATGACAATATTTAACATTATAAAAACTTACAGCATAGATACAATTGTTTAAAACAGCTACTCCCAGTGTTGAGCGGCGAGCTTCCATACTGGAACAGGAGGTCCATTGATCTGTGGAAGGGTCATAAACATCAACGGTCCGAACCCGCATTGAGCCATTGAAGCCTCCAACGGCGTAGACTCGTCCTCCAATAATTGAAAGACCAGCTCTGCAAGTTCAAGGAGAAAAATTAATAAATACACATCAAACATTAAAAACTTAACAATGGAGTTTGATGTTAAGTGACATTACCTGCAACGTCTTGATGGCATTTCTGCAACTTGGAACCACCTTTCCTCTTTGAAATCAAAACACTCCACACTTCTAATAGCTTTCGGAGCCTGGCCACCAACCACAAGTAGTACCTTTAAAGAACGAAATTTCAGGAAAAACAATTAACTGTTATTTCTTTAATGTGAAGGAAAAAAGCAGAGTAAAATACACAAAATATGCATGAAGTGTCTAAAGAAAGTAATTTATTGTACATACTTTGGGGAGTCCAACAGGTTGTCTTGGCTTTGTTCTTGGGGTTTTAAATGACAATTTTTGTTCCCCTTTGAGCAAATGGTATTTAAATGCTTCAATTAAGAAGTCTTTGCCTGCAACCCAAATAAATAATGAAAATGAACAGCTTAGCAGATCTGTTTTGACAACCACTGCAAAAAGTTCAGATAAAAAAAAAACTGAAACACTCTTACACTGAAGATTTGCTTTGAGTAATGGTTCTTCTTCCACTCTTTGCATTAAATAATCCTGTGATAGCAAAGGTAAGCGCACATGTTCCATCAGAAGGGGTAACTGGGTTTGTCTTGTTTCTAGGTCATGATGAACCCATCCCACGACACATTCAAACACCTAGACAAGAAAATTTTAAAAATAAATACTGATATAAACTGGGATTTATCAATTGAAAAGAATGTCATACAAATTTGAGTTTTTAAAGGGGAAAAGAAAACAAATAAGATGGTTAGCTCTGTTTAAGAGCCTTGAATTCACCTTTTCTTCAGATGGGACAGTCAGGCGATCACTACAAATGAGTTTAGAAACCTGCTGAGGTGACAGTGTTAAAAACTCTTCACATTCTACGACTTCCCTGCAAATGAATACAGAGGAGCATGTGTATTGGAGCAGATGTATGTACTAGATTTGTGTGTTGAGGACACCAGATGCATGACAATGAACTTACGAGAAATGCTGCTCAATGTAAGAGTCAGCATGAGATAGTAGTTCTAAACAGCCATGCAAGTCTGCAAATGCTCTTATACCAAGGCAGTTGGTTGGGTGCAACTGTCCTTGCAAAAAATCACAGCAGGCATCTCGAACATCAGTAAGCTGAAGAAGATTAGCAGCGGGCAGCAGAACCTTAAACACAAAAAAAAAAGAAAAAAAAAAAAAAAAATGCAACATTAGGCAATACATACATTGAATCCATAGATTGAAATACCAACAGAGATGCAACATACCTGAACATTTTCTTCAGTAACATGCACTTCTGAGGTATACACATAATCAACAAGCAATTGCAAAGCAGTGGAGTCTACTCCTTGTAAAGTAACTCTTTCAGATTTGCTCTCTTCAAAACTAGTGAACATCGCATAAAAATAAGGACTGCAAGCAGCAAGTACCATTTTGTGAGCAGATACTTCTGAGTTATTGTCCGAAATGAGTGTGACATCACATAACAGATTTTGCCTGTAGAAAGAAAACCATACTCATTTGAATTTTGACAACTAGATATTCGAACATATTAGACAAAGGCAAAGCACTGGTATGGTAATATGCATACCTGCGCATGACATTCATAACTTCAAATGCTCGGTTTGTATGGTGATGGTTATGATATGGGGGCTTTTCTTTGGTCCCAGATCGAGGCACATGTTTCTGAGAGCTCTCATCCAAAGAGCTTTGGCTGGCATATCGTAGTAAGAGACGGCTGTGGAAGAAAGCAAGAAGTATAAAATTTAGAGTCTTTCCTTGCACCTAGAGGCATCATTCCTGCTAATAACTATAAAGTGCTAAGTCTTCAAGTAACAGATGCAAAAGGAGAACCCATAAAAACTGAGAGGCCAATGAACAGAGCGTGTATAAAGAGTTGATGAGGGTTATTAACAACGTATCCGTCTTCAAACTCTGCATTTTGTCATCCACCAGATTTAATTACTTGCCCTTTGATCTGTCGAAATTTAATGGCGATAGGTTATACACTGCCTCTCTTACCTTTCTTGTTTATCTGACGCATTTTCGCCCAGAGACAGATTCAAAAATGGTGAGTCCATTTCTGTTGTTGTTTGAAACTAACTCGCTCAGAAAAGTGACGGTTACAAAGATGGTGTTGATAGGAAAACCATTTCAATCACGTTCTTCGTCCTTGTCTAACTCTCAACAGTACACAACCACTAATCAAGAACAACAACAAACACAAACGTCTGCAACGATCGACAGTTGAGCTGAGCAGCGGAGAAAATCGCTTCTACAGGACACTTCTGGTAAGTATGACAAATTTCCAAACCAGAACAAAATGATAAAGTAGCCCGGTCACGAGGAGTATGACACATTTTGAGGCTCTCCCGGAGCTAGGGTGGCCCTTGAAACCATTAATAGTACTCGAATTGGTTAAATAGTTGGTAAATGATTTGTGTAAATCATGAAACAGAAATCATAGAACGGTTAAACGTCCATTTATAAAATATAGAGAATTTTATTGAATCCAAGTTTCAAGGGCTCCACGGGGAAGTCCAAGCCTCTGCCGCGGGCCTGCCAAAATCTGCGGTTACCCCACTCCCGCCCGTCCAGGCATCTCCCGCCAAACCGTACCGCCAGCGTACTTTAATCAGCCTCTTCTCTTCCAGCACATCCTTGGCCAAAAACTTGGCACCAGAAGAGTAAACACGAAGATTCGGCCCGCCTGATCGCGGGGGCACTCCCCCGAACCCCGAGCCCCATTTGACCCTCCTGGCGCCGCCACGCGCTCGCTCCGCCCCCGCGGCCGCCACCGGCCTGGCCCCGCCCCCGGCGCCGAGGCGGGGCTGCCATTGGCTGCTATCGGCTGCCATCGGCTGCCATTGGCCGGGGTGGAGGGTGCATGCTGCAAGGGGTGGCACCCGCGGGCCGCGGGCACGACCCAGCGGCCGGGCCGCCCCGGCGCCGCAGACGACACAGCGCCGCGGCCCGAGGACGTCAGGACGCCAGGACGTGCCTCCCTCGCGACGCCTCGGCGCACCACGCGGCTCGCGGCTCGCGGCGGGGGCGTTTCAGTCCCACCGGAAGTGGCAGCAAGCCGATGGCCACGGCGGCGACGCGCTGAGTTTGCATCCACGCGCGTCTCGCCAGGGATGGCCGCCAAGTACCCTGTCACGCAGCAGTGAGGAGAATCGCCAACCGTCCACCCGTCTCGACGAGTACCAGGTCAGTGCGGCACGCTGTGCGCTGCGCCGGACGGCCTGCCTCAAGGCCTGCCTCAAGGCCTGCCTCCTCGGGCCGCAGCGGCCACAGTCGGCAAAACCGAAGTGAAGTTGTACGCTTCTTTTCGAGCATGCAACTGCTACACTCGTTGAAGACTGTAGGCTTAAAGTCAAATGCTGAGAAGAAATTCTCTCATGCATTTAGATAGGCGGAGAGTAAGCAGATCGGAGCACTACCCTTGAAGCTAAGCGGAGCGACCGCTACGTTTGAAGAAAGGCGTAAAAGTGCGCTTCCGTTCTACCGGTTAGGCAGAATAATGCACGTTAAAAATGTCTGGGTCTTGCCGGGATGGGCTTAGAGCTTTCCGGTTGCGGTACCACCGGTTCGGTGCTTCACAACGTTCTCTCGAGGCGACCACAAAACAGCCAACCCTCTCGGGTATTTTGAACGGTGGTTTTAGAACGAGGGATAATTTGACTGGCCCCAGAGCGCGGTCAGCAAGGAAGGGAGTGCGAGCGCCAGTGCCTTTCGGGCGAAGGACTCCGAGGAAGGCCGGGACTCCCAGGCCGGGCGCCCGTCTAGCGCCCGTCGAAGCAGCGATAGGCCACCCGAGCGCAGCCGTGCCGTGCGGCCGGCCGACCGCAGTCTTGCAGGCGGCGTCCTGCGCCAGGAGCACCTGGGTTGCTGCAGCAGCGCCGCGTGTGTATACGCGCGCGCGCCTCTCTCTCTCTCTCTCTCTCTCTCTCTCTCTCTCTCTCTCTCTCTCTCTCTCTCTCTCTCTCTCTCTCTCTCTCTCTCTCTCTCTCTCTGTGTGTGTGTGTGTGCGCGCGTGTGTGTGTGTGTTTGCGTGTCGCTGCCGACGGTGCGGCGCCAATAAACTGATTGGGTGTTATAGCACTGTCCACAAAATTCCCCCTCCCGATCGGCGGGAGGGCCGGGCTGGGTCGCGGGGCGGGCGCGAATGCGCGAACGCGTTTATTACTCCAACAATGCGTTTCATGAATAAAGATGCCGGCCCCTGTGGCGGAAACAACGTGGTTATGGAAAGCGCCGGGCCGCGGCGTGGCGCCGAGCGGCCCACCCGCACAGCGGCAGCAGCACGCGGCGGGGCGGGGCGGGGCGGCGAGGGTGGAAGTGGCTTGTTAGGGCGGCGGGCCGCGCGAAAACAGCCCGCCGTCCCTCTTTATTGACACCGCCACTGCGATGCAGCATGCAGCGTCCGATTCGTGCACGGTGCGGCGGGAGGAACAATCAGGAATTGATGACGCGAATATCAGCCGCCGCGCCACGCTGGTCGCGGGACGCGGAGTCGCAGTGTTTTCGGCGAGGTGAACTTCGAAGAGAGGATCCTCTCGATCCGGTCGACCATTGCGAAAGTACTCCATAAGCGAAAGAGACTGCCCTTCGAGCTTCCCGAGCTTCACCGTGATTTTCGGTCTGCGGACCCACGAGGCTTTTCGATGCGCTCCCTCGCGGTGGCCGAGCAGACGGGGAAGACCGAGAACGAGAACAGGGGCACGGCGGGAGGTTGTTTCGTGGTGTAAATATCATTTCCCGTTGATGAGCTTGGATTGGCGGCGGCTGGCGCTTGCCGCGCTCGCTGCGTCCCTCCAGACTCCAGGCCGACCGGCCGACCCCCAGTCCTTGGCGGGCTCTGTTATTAGATTGTCGCCTGTTGCCTTGCTGGCTGTTGCCTGTGGGCTGGCTCCGCGAAGCCCCGCGTTGCCTACGGAAGTCACTGCCGCCAGACTCAATCTCGCCGGGGAATACGTTATTCAACTTTACTAATTTCACTTCTCTGTGTTTAATGCGATTTGTTGGCCGCCGTGGCTTGCCTGCTGTCTGATTGGTTAGCAGCGCGCCCTTTCGCGGCCAGGGTGGGCGGGTAGGCAGGCAGGCAGGCAGGCGGGCAGACAGGCAGGCAGCCAGGCAGACCCACTGAGGTGTCCTGCCCCGAACGCGCACCCGTTGCAAATCGTCCGACATAAACAGCTTGTTCTCGCGCAAACACTCGAGGGCAGCGGTTCAACCTTGCCACCAACAGTTAGTGGGCCTCGAGGCCCACTACCAACAGTGGATAGGGCTAAAAATTATCGCGACCCCGCAGCCAAAATTAATTGCCCTCTCCTCTCCGCTGCTGAAGGGTCAAAGGTCACCGTCATTCCTTTCAGGGTGCTGGACTGCGCGGGACTGCCTCATTTCGTCTGATGGCGCCGCTTTTCCGTCCGCAGATGGAGCCGACGCCTTCCCCGGCCACGTTGTCCCTGTCCCTGAAGCCGCCGAGGCCGTCACCGCGGTCGCCGCCGGGCCACCCTGGCGGACACCCCGGCGCACACCCTAGCCCGCCCGGCGCCGCGGGGGCCGGCGGCAGCGTGGGCGGCGGCGCGGGCGCGGGGCAGCCGCCCCCGCAAGTGGGCCAGGTGACGCTGCACGGCGAGCCCATCGTGTCCCTCGTGATGGAGGGCTGCGAGCGACTGTGCCTCGCGCAGATCTCCAACACGCTGCTGCGCGACTTCTCGTACAACGAGATCCACAACCGGCGCGTGGCCCTGGGCATCACTTGCGTGCAGTGCACGCCCGTGCAGCTGGAGATCCTGCGGCGGGCCGGCGCCATGCCCGTGTCCTCGCGGCGCTGCGGTGAGTGGGAGAGGCTGGCAGAGGCTTTGAGGTAAACAGCGCTTTGGTTCGGGGAGACTGCAACGCGGGGTGGCGGTGTCCTGGTGGTGTCGCAGGCATGATCACGCGGCGCGAGGCGGAGCGGCTCTGCAAGTCGTTCCTGGGAGACAACTCGCCGCCCCGCCTGCCCGAGGACTTCTCGTTCCGCGTGCACCACGAGTGCGCCTGGGGCTGCCGGGGGCTGTTCCTGCCCGCGCGGTACAACTCGTCGCGCGCCAAGTGCATCAAGTGCGCGCTGTGCGGCCTCTTCTTCTCGCCCAACAAGTTCATCTTCCACTCGCACCGCACGGGGCCTGGCGCCAGGTACGCTCCGCCCATCCGATACGCCTTGTCCGACTTACCGAAACACTAGTGCTTAAAAACCAGAACGCTCTTTTCAGCTTTTCCGAAATGCCTTTGGACAGGTACGTGCAGCCGGACGCGGCCAACTTCAACTCGTGGCGCCGCCACATGCGCCTCAGCGGCAGCCCGCCCGAGGAGGTGGTGCACGCCTGGGAGGACGTCAAGGCCATGTTCAACGGCGGCACGCGCAAGAGGCTGCTAGCCAACGCCCAGCACGGCCAGCACGGCCAGCATGGCCACCACGCCCAGCAGGCCCGGAAGGACGCCGGCGAGGCCAGGGCGCCGCCGTCGCCCGTCAAGGCGCACCCCACCAGCCCGTCGGGGCCCAGCCCCGCCAAGATGAGCAAGTTGAGCGGTGACCGCGGCCCCGCCAACCCCAGCGCGGGTAGGGAGTACACACACAGTTTGCATTGCCGATGTGTGACTGCCACCGTGAGGCTAACGCGTTGTGTTGCGTCCACAGCCGGCGGCCTGGACTCACCGCCCGGCACCCCGCTGGGCGCGCTGGGCGGCGGCTCGCCCTTCCCGCTGGCCGCGGGTCCCGGCCCGGAGCGCTTGCCACCGGCGCTGCCCCTGCACGCCGCCCCCGCCGCCGGCCGCGGCCTGCACCTGGAGTGGGGCCCCTGGGGGCGGGCCAGCCCCTTGCCGCTGGGGTCGCCGCTGCCGCCGTCCATGGCGCCGCCGCCGCTCGGGCCGCCGCCACACCACGTACTGCCGCCGCTGCCGCCCTACGCGCTACCCTGGCTCGCGCCCAAGCGCTCGCTGCTCGCGTTCGACGGTAGGCTGCAAACTCCACTCTTGGTTTGGCAGTGCACGCCAACCAGGCTCGCGGCTTCGAGTGCGTGACGTGTTTTTCGTTTGATGCTCCAGGCATGGTGCCGCGCGCGTGGGCCAACGCGCTGCTGCCGCCACACCAGGCCCACCAGGCCCACCAGGCCCATCAGGCCCACCACCAGGCTCACCAGGCTCACCAGGCCCATCAGGACGCGCTCCGCTCCTCCGCCTTCCGGCCCGTGTTCCCGGTGCCCGCGCTGCCGGCCGCGCTGCTGCCCCGCGAGGCCGCCGCCGAGCCGCGCGAGCCGCGAGAGCCCCGAGAGATGAGGGACCCCGCCGCGGAGCTGCGCGACCTGCGTGACCTGCACCGCGACATGCACCGCGACCTGCACCACCCCGCCGACCTCTCGCGGGACCTGCGGGCAGACGGCCAGGACGACGCCGCGCCCGCCCCCGGCCACGTGCCGGCCGCGCTCCTCGAGGAAGACAGAAAGCCCGTCTTCATAGAGGCAGTAAGTGGCGGGTTCGAGTCCCGGTCAAGCCATCGCACGGTAACTTTTCGAAACTCGTAAATTTGATTTTTGTCGACAGAACACCGAAACTCCTCACATGACCGCCGTGGACACCGACGGACGCAACAGTCGAGAGCAGGAGGACCTGGACGACGAGGAGGCGGTCGTGGACATCGAGTCCACGGAGGACGGCGACGACGTCGTCCTGGGGGAGGTGGCGGACAGCCCCGTGGGGAGGGTGGCGGAACCGCCTCAGGTGAGTCGCAGGATGCTTTGTCATTTCCGTCAACAGAAAGGACGCACTACTACGCACAGTCCTGCCGAGTTTAATTCGCGGCGTTTAGCGATTGAAGTGAACGACATTTATTTTTTTGCGGAGGGAAGTATATTGTGACCCACCACTACACTTTATCTGTCCCTTTCCTCCCGGGCAGTCCCAGTGCCCTTCCTTCCCTGCCCAGTCCCTGCCCGCCCCGCGCGGCCCCGACGTCCCTTTCGGACGGTTCAGCGAGGCGCATCGCCAGGGCCGGGCCGCGCCGCGCCCAGCCGCGCCCCTGGGGTGTCCTCGGCGCCGTGCTCTAGTCGTGCGCGGCGGAAGGCGAGGCCGGCAAGGCCGGCAAGGCGAGGTCCTCGCTGAGCCGATACGTCTAGGGAGCTTTTTTCTCTCTCCCGCTTTCTCTGCGGCTCTGCTCCACCCGAAGTAATTACGACGGGGACTGTGGGGCTCAGCCTTCTGCCCGCGAGTAACACACACTCGCCCCGCCCCGCCCCGCCCCGCCCCACCCGGCGCGGCGTTCCTCCACCGCGGCGGTGGCGTTCTCGTCCGAACCGGAACCGCGCGCCCCGGTGTTTACGGCAACACCTTCCGGACGGCGCTTTCGTCACTCTATCTCTCTCGCACTTGCGGGCGTGCCGTTCGGGTGCGAGAGAGACAGAGCGACCATCAGCGGGCGGCGAGCCAAAGCCACGGAATGGCGCCAAACGAGGCAATTGAGGCCGGAACCTCTGAACCTCCGGACCGGGCGACGCCGCCAGCCAGCGCGACGCGGCGCGACGCCTCGAGGCGGCCTTAGATTAACAAGTTTTAAGCAATAAAGACAACACCGAGAGCGGCGCCGAGTGGCGAGGGAGAGGGGAGCGGGGTGCGCGCCGCCAGGGGTGGCGGGCCGCGCTACTGGTATCGGCTGGTAATGGGGGTGAGAGAGACGGAGAGAGACAAATCTGTGGGCTCGGCCGGGCTTGGCCGGGCTCGGCGGCGGGGTGGGGGTGCGGGAGGCGGCCGAAGAATACTTACGATTGTTGTCGGCAATCACGGCATCCATCCGACAAGTTTACCTAATGCATATTAACGACTATTTAAGGCGGAAAGAGTGGTCCCCTGCCGAAGCGGGGCGGGGCGGGGTACACACGCCGTCCTCTCAGCCACCTTGATTCGCAGGGACAACCATTCCAACTTTAATTCCCAATGAATGGAAAAGAGAGCGGTGTGCAGGTGGCGGGGCGTGGCAAGGCCCCGTGCTCTTCCAGTGAAATGAAGAGAGAGAGACCACGAGAAAAGAAGTGGCTCCAGTCGAAATAGATTGACGACTGCCGCGACGCTGCGACAGAGATCCCAAAACATCCGCCCAAAGGAAACACTCCTAGAAACTTGTTTCTTTTATTGGACAAAGAAAAATCGACAAGTTGTATGGGAATATTTAGTTGGTTTGGTATTTAAAGAAACAAACTTTTTGGGTGCCCCATTCATCATCCCCCTCTACACACACACACACACACACACACACACACAGTGAGGGAGGGCGAGAGCTAAACTCTGCACTATACACCATTAATTGATAGCAGCGTCTAACCACTCAATTATTATGTTGGGGCGTGGAGGTTTCCGAAGAGTCGATGGGTGCGAGGGGAGGGGAGGCGCGCGGTGGCCGACGAAATCGATTTAGTATGTGTGTGTGCGTGTGAGTGGGTGTGAGCGGTTGTGTGCGCATGTTTGTGTGTGTGCGTGTGTAAGTACGCGGCCATGCTCATCATTGTCGATTACAGGAGATTAAGTAAATCCCGGGAGCGAGCTGGCAGCTGGACGGTCGGATGACCCCTTGGCCGGGCGGGGCGGGCGGGGAGGCAAAGGGTTAGATGAGGCGAGAGACCTGAGCTAGCTATGCTGGTCTGCCGGGAAACACTCTCTCTCGCACACAACAATCTCTCTCTCTCTCTCTCACTCCCACCCCCTTACGGGAATTGTGGTTGGTCGGGGGCTCAGGGGGCCTTGTTCCGGGCCTGGCACGCCTCTCCCGATCAAGGATTGCGACGTAGGCCTATCCTTTTCTCGTGTCCTCCTTTACCTCGGTCGTCTTTGCTTCTTGTTGGTCTCGGGCTGGGCTTGGGTCGGTCGTGCCGCCTGCCGGGTGCGCCCCGCGCCGCAGCAGCTCTCATGTTGATTAACCTGTCAGCCGGAGGCAGCCTTGACGCCACGGCCACGGCACGGCGCCACGGCACCACGGCCACGGCCTCGGCGTCCAGGCTTGTTTACCGGTGACCCTCGGCAGGAGTAGCCGGGTAGCCGCGGTGGCCGCCCGGGCTGAGCCGGTACGTGCAAAGCTGTGGGTAGGCGTACACGCTACGCAGTCCCTCATTTATCCAGCATTTTTCAAGGTGTTTGTTCAAAAGAAGTTTGTTCAATGGAAAAGGATCATCTGAGGATAGTGAGTGATTCGGTTCACAACTCTTTTCTGTCGTGGGAGATAAGATAATAGGGCAACACCGGGCATCCCCGTGCCGCTCCGGCGCCTCAGTGCGGCGCGCGTCTGTGTTTGTATGTGTGTACTGTTCACGCTCCGCGGTTTGGCCGCCGATTACGTGTCTCCGTGCCAAGAGGGCGCGCCGGCCGAGCACGGTCGCCCGACATGTACCTAAACCGGGCGGGGCGCGGCCGTCGGCACGCCGAGGGTGGGGGAGGACGCGATCACATTTTAAATCCTTATATTATCTTTCCGCTGCCGAGCGTGAGTCAAAACGGGAAAATGAGTGGAGGGCCGAGACGCGGACATGCCGCCGGCGGACCAGCGAGCCGGGATTGAATACTCATGCGCGGGGATGAAAACCGTCACATTCACATCGCCGTCAAAAACATTTTTATTTATTTCTTTTGCCTTTTTCCAACAAGGTGTAATCCGGCTGGCGGTGCCTCGTTACCGCGCGGCCCTGACTTGAATTCGGAAGCGCGGGCCGGCCGATGATTAGCAAGCCGCGTCTCAGACTTCCGAGAGTCGTCGCTCTGTCTCTCTCGCACTCATCGGGCGTGCCCTACAGGTGCGAGAGAGACAGAGCGTTAGTCTGCAGACGCCGCGGACGGCGCGCCGAGGCGAATGCCGGGACAGGTAATGTAATGATGGAGGGGGTAGAGGGTGGGGCGGGCCGTGTGACAGGGGGGACATAGGTAAACAATCCTGTGAGTGATGACTCGTTCAACTCGCTTTTACTTAATTATGTTTGTGTGCGTCGCGCCGTCGTCCTGGGTGGCCGGGCGGTGCTGTACACGCCGTGGTGCCCAAGCCAAGCCGCACAGGAAACAAAACAAATTTTTAAAAAAAATGGGAAAATGTTTTGGTGAAAGGTGCACCGGAAGGGAGATGCAAAGTGCAATGAGCGAACGCCCCCCTCCCCCTTTCCCCCTCCCCTCCCAATCTGCCTCGGCCCGGCCGCGCGGCTTGTCCACCCGCCTGGAAACTCAGTTTGCTGCAGTTCGTACAGAGTAATCGCACACTAAGCTGTAATCGGCTTTGCGGATACAATAAACTGATTTTTTTTTGGCTGCGCGCGCTCGGCGCGGAGGCGGCGGTGGGATGGGGCCCACTACCCGGTCTGCAGCGGCGAAGCAGCGCGCTTCCCGCGGAACGCGCCGAACGCGCGGAGCGCCCGACTCGATCAAGGCCTAGATGACGTACAGCGGGCCGCCCTTTCAGACTCTTCATCGGGGCGGCCCGGCCACGGTGCAGGCGGGGCGAACCGGGGCGAACCGGGACCAACGGATTGAAAAGAGTGCCGGGCTATCCGTCGCCCTCCGCCGCCCCTACCCCCCGCAGGGAGGGCCCCCCTCGCCCTCGCCAAGGCCGGCAGAGCCCCGGGCCGCCCTGCTTACACTTGCAGCACGCGGGGCACGCCGCCATAACATTACACTTTGCGCCGCCAAGGCTTCGCCGCTTCGCCGCTTCGCCGGGCGCACACCAATTCCTCCCCTCCCCCACCCCCTCCCCTCCCCCTCCCCTCGGCCGGTGCCCTTCAAGTCCCGGGTGGCAATCACGCCCCGAAATGGTGGAGTGTAAGTATGACGCTAAAGATTGACGCTAAATGTCATCACTTGACCTTCTTGCTTCGCGTTGCTTCGCTTTGCTTCGCCACCATCCACCGCTCGTTACTCCGCCCCACCCCTCTGGAAAAACCAACAAACAAACAAAAGAAGGCGCCGCCGGGAATCGAACTCGCGAACCCGCTCGTGGAAGGGCAGCGAGGGTGGCGGATCCAGAGCCGGTCTGAGGGAGGGCCAAAGTAGCACTTCTAAAGGGGTAAAGAGCGGCTTTTCGTCTACCTTTCAGGGGGCTATGCAGAGAACTTTTGCCACCTCTGGGTCCACGCTTGGGGGCAGTGGCCGAGCACCGGAACGCGAATTCGGGGTGCGCGGTGTTTTTGACGCGTGTTGGCATGAGTGCAGCCAACGACTTGTTTGGCAACGCGGCGGGCGCGTCCAAGTGACGTCACGGTCGGTGCCTCTCTATTACTCGCCGACACATTCAATCCGGCAGGGGGAGGGGGAGGGGAGGGGAGCGGGGCGGCGGAGCGTGGCAAGTAGTGGAGGGTGGCTGGCGCGGCTGGCGCGGCGCTTCACTGCCGGGGGACAGGCTGCCTGCCCGCCCTGCCCGCCTGGCTCATTGGCTTCATGTTGGGTACCGGCGTGACGCCACACCGTGACTTCGCGGAGGCACCCGCAAGGCGCGGCTCGCGAAAAAGAAAACAAGGATGGGACTTGAACCCAGGCCGTTTGCACCGAGTTTTCAAGAGCGCATAACGTTTTGATTCCTAATCGCGAGTGCCATTCACTGACAGTAATTAGTTTCTGTAAACAAAAATAAAATGAAAAGAAAAATCAAGAGCAAGATTAGTGTTTGATCCCGGGGTCTGTCTGTCCACCGGCACGCAATTTACCGCTGCGCTAACCTGCCCCACTTGGGAGCGCGAGGTGTTGGAGCGACACGGTGACAC